GAAGAGCAGACATAGTAGTAACATTAGGAAAGGATATGACAGAAAAGAACGTGAAACAGTTTTGCCTTTATTATATAATTTAAAATTTTTGTAAAATTGCTGTCATTTTCATATCCTTACTCCTAGTGTTGATGTACTCTTTCTGTTAGGCACATGAACATGTGAAACGGACTTTTTAAAGATACTAGCTGCTAACTAGTGTTAACTACCCGGTGTTTCAGTATTTCAAAGAGTATAATGCAGATGTTGGCTGTGGAATGGATGCAGGCATATACTGTATTGAATTTACTTTAACACTAATCTAGTCAAAAATCAGTCTGTAAAATGATGATCATGGCAACAGAACAACATAGGTTAGGCTGTGGCTTTTCTTCTTCACCATGGTGTAATACTGCAAGATGTTGGTTAGACTCCCGTAATTGACTTGAAGGTGGGTGGGGAGTAATTTTCTAGGGATTTCAGTGACAATCAGAATATGTCAGAGATATGACAGCTTTCAGCATTAGTATGAGAACTGGGAAGTAAATTTTAGGTACATATCCCTTGTTAACACTGTTTAACCTATATTAATTTTTAAATTTCCAAGCAACATTTTATTCTTTAAAAAATATAATTGAGTGCAATATTGAACCCACTTTCTTTCCTGGTGAGATCCTGAGCTGCTTCTTTAAGGATACATCTTTCAGTGTTGTTGCCAGTATCAAACTATAGCTATTTATTTTGTAGTTTTATCTGGACTATACAATTTTTTTTTCAGAAGAGGAAATGATTTTTTTTTTTCTGGCGCTCTCATTAACATCATCTATTGATCAGGTGGTTATTAGATCTCATCATCAGGTAGTAGGGATGGAAGAATTTGGCTACAAATTACTGTTCTCTCAAATTGTACACATACATGCAATTAATAGAAACTGGAAATTAGTGGCGTCTTAAAAATAATTCCAAGTTTTGATTTACAGAGGTTGGTGCTACTCTGACAGCCCTTGGAGTTTCATACTCTTTCTGCTGAAGTCACTAAAACTGAACATACCTGATAAGGGCAGAATTTGGCCATGTTGTCAGGGATTTGTGACATTTTGTGTAGTATAATTTGGCTTGTTTGAAGTTAATATCCATGTGCTTATGTAATTGAAAATGCGTGTCTCCATTTTTTGGCCATACACCTAAAATTTCATTCCCATTCCATCTATCATGTTTCAAAACCATTTGTGAAACTCTTCTCCATGTACAGATTGTTAAAATGTGATAGTCCCAGGAACACAAAAAATATTTTTATGTATCTGTGTTCATATGCATGTGGGATATCTGCTGACCTGGTTTACAGAACAACTGGAATAATGTCTATGATACAAGAAAGTATAACAAAACCTTTTAAAAATGATTAATTACATTAGTCATGTTTCAGTTATACTGTGACTGAGGAAGGGCCCTTCTAACCATACCACATAGGTCTGTTTACCCCTTCTTCTGCTTGATACTAGAATAGCAGTTAAAGCATCTCTAGCTGTTTTCAGCTTGTCGTTTAGTTACTACATATTACTCAGTTGTCTCAAGATTTTTTATTTATGATTTTCACTGTTTTTGGATATACATCTCAAAAATTGTATTTATATATAAAAAAGAAACGAACTAAGTATTTTTAAAACAAATCTTATCAAGAAAATGATTCATACTGCAATAGCTCAAGGGACATTTTCTGAGTTTTGGAAATGGGATTTAAAATAACAAGAATAAAATATATTTTCCTGTTTTGATAGTAACGTAAAATTACTACACAGAGGATCCAATTTGTGTTAAGCCTAGGATGTGCAGACTCAAGTATGAATGCAAAGAGAATAAAGACTACCATAGGAAGTATATGCATATGCAGAAATGCTAATTTAACCTCTAAACAGAAGTCATAAGCAGAGTAGGTGTACCCAACACTTTAGGTTAAATGTGAAAGTGTAAGATGAGAAGACCTCTCACTTGTGCAGAAGAACTTTGTATGTAAATGGGGATAAAATGACTATAAGACTTGCACATATTGTGTGTGTGTAGGGAGTGTGGGAAACAAAATGTTTGTAATACTGTGCCTGAAACAAATGATTAAGGTACTAGATAAACAACATTAAACCATTTCCAGAGGAGATAATATAGTGGCATCTGTGGAGTAAATTGGTTAAAAAATTTCCGTTAGGCTTTTGAAGGTCTGGAAAGAGCTTTAGGCATTGATAATATATTTTAGTCCTATGCTTAAAAAGAAAAACAAGGAATGAAAGTAATAGAACATATCAAAAACAAGGCACACTAATAGATTAGTTCCTCTTTACTTGAATAAGAAGTCTTTGGAGACTCAAACTGCATTTATACAGAGCGAAATAGTTAAAATAATTTGCAGTCGTACTGGCAAGTAGAAAAATAATTTTGGAACATGATACTGAAATTAAATGTTGGCAAATACAAGAAAAACAATTTTTGGAAGAGTTGGGGCAGAAGCAGGTGTACAGAAATAGTAGTCAGTGCCATTCAGAATCAAATGTAGAACAGGAGATTTCCAGTATATGAAAGAGGATTTAACAGAAGTTTATATATTCATAGCACTCTGAAATAACTTCAGTTGTACTAATGTGCAGCCTTCATGGTGGAGACTGAGTGGTATTACTAAGACATCCCTATCTAAAACTGAATATATATCATGCTAAAGAACACTAGGCAGTGTTAATTTTTTATATATATATAGATATATATAAAAAAAATGACAAATCTGGCATTTAGGTTTTTTCCTTTTTTATATTTGATCATTGAACAGCCTGGCTGATAAATTTGATCTAGGTTGCTTCCACAGAATAAACCTGACTTGCCCAACTTTGAAAAGGTTATTTTTACTAAAGGGAATGTGAAGAGGCTTCAGTGGGACAGGCCAGTGTTAAAAACTTGGAGACCTAGTCATTATTTCCATTATTTCTGATACTGACTAGCTGTGCATCTCTTTGGACATGATATTTTAACATGTCCAGTCCTTGCCCTGACCTTTGTTAGAAAATGCAAATTCTTCTGGGTCAGGGACTCTTATTTTATTTTCTTTTAAAATGGTGCTTATCATATCAGTCTCCACAGAATTCACTTCTCTAACCGGTTACAAGAATAATAAACATGCTCCAGTTAGCTGGAAGGGAATATTTTGAACCTGTGTTCACAAAAATATTTCTATTGCTTAAAACACACTGACCTTGAATTAAATAACATAATGCAAATTTTGCTTTTCAGTATTCATATATTTGAGCCAAACCTACAAGTTCATGCTTAATAATAATGAAAATGGAAATCTCTGTGCACATATTTGATTTCTATGCATATATTCTGAATGCATGACTTCTCTACTTCCAAACCAACATTTTGTATTTTGTTGATGTACATATAATTTAAGATTTGTGTGAAAGAATTAGGTAGGAATCACAAGATGATTCGATTATTTTTTTTTTTCTGTAAAAGCAAAAAACACTGAAACTTGCTAGGTAGTCCCTATACAACTGAAGTCCTATGGAAGCTGAGAAGGAAAAGAGGGAGTGGCATCTGTGTAAAAACTGGATAAAAATGCCTGTTTATGTTTAAAATAAAAACATTAGGTATGGAAGTATGTTACTATCTGATAACTTCAGTTTGATGTTTCTGTTTTGGTGTGTGCTTGCTAGAGTGAATGATCTTGATCAGATTTCTTTGAGGGATGGACTATTTGAGTATATTAGCATTACATTTTGTCCAGTTGTGATTGTTTTCCGAAGGTAGCAAATGATCTCAGAATCTATCTGTATTTTTTTTAGAATTTTTAATTTTCTTGGAGTGATATGATAGCAAAATCTGTAATGGACAATACTGTGTGGAATCCTGAAGTCCTTGTTAGAGCAACAGCCTAGCTAGCCTAGTGGAAAGGCTATCTCTAAGATGTCAATTAATTATTCAAGTAATGTAATTTGTACATGGTAGATGCATGTTTATGAAAGCCATCCTACTTTGTTGTATGTTACTTTAAAAGTTTCCAAGCCAATGCTTGTGCAAATTTGATTTGAGCACCATGGAAAAGAATTAATATAGTGAGCGATCAAAGAACAGATCATGGATCCCTTGGGCAAGTAGAAGTTCAAAACCAAAATGAAAAAATATATATTAAAAATGTCTGTTGCTGTGTTTTAAAACTGTTGCAATTTCAAATCTAGAGAGTTTTAAAATAAGATATACAAGGAGTGTTCAAAGTTACACAGCCTGTTAAAAACCACTAGTATGACTACAGCCTTCTTTGAAATCCCTAATGACTTTATTGCTATCATTTTAGAATCTGCTGAGGAATATTTGTAGATTTTGGGCAATTTTGTGGTATTTGAAATAAAAGCGTTAAAAATTAATCTGCACATAGCTTTAATCTTTAATTATGAGGTTTAAATCATGTTAATATAAAAACCAATATATGTAAATTAGTGCAAACTCTTACTGTAATGGAGTTGTACCTTGCAGTTTTATGGGGAATAAGTTTAACAGACTCTTAACATACAAAGCTCTCTAAAATAGGTGTATTTTAAATTTTTTTTTAGTAAGAAATAGAGTTATTCATACTGTTTACAGCATATAACATTTGTACAGGGGACTGTCAGTCTTTTGTATGAAACTTTTTTAAAATTGAAGGTAACATTTTATGACATGGAGTACAAAGTGTTTGTGAATTACAAGGCTCTTTGATTATAAAATATTTATCCTGTTATTATAGATGTGTATGTTTGCACAGTTGCATGTGATTGAATTTCTGTAGATTAGTGAATTCCTGCTTGTGAATTGATGTAAAACTATGCCCATTTTGAATTGGTGTCTGCATTATCTAGAAGCACATGCATGGTCAGTTAGTTACTGTGAAACAGCTGGTAAGCAAGCACTCCTTTGGTCAAGTGGGCATATTTGACTGTTCTTTTGATTTTTTCCAAAATTTTTTTGATTTGTTGATGTCCTGTTTTTTAATTCTGAATTTAAAGGTTATCCCACCAAAGGAGTGGAAGCCAAGAAAACATTATAATGATATTGAAGATTTGGTGATTCCTGCTCCAATTCAGCAGATGGTCACTGGCCAGTCAGGGCTCTTCACACAGTACAACATTCAGAAAAAGCCAATGACAGTGAAGGAGTTCAAGCAGCTGGCCAACAGTGACAAGTATGTATATGGGGGGTCTTGCTTAGAAAAATGAGTATTTATTTGTTCCCATATTGTGGTTTCTTCGAATTGTGCTGTGCAACTGGTGATTTTTTTTTTTTTTTTTACTTAGTAGAGGTTTTCCTGTTTCCTAAGTTGTGGAAGGGTACCACAGTGTGAATCTTGCTTGTGTTTACGTAATTGAAAGCATCTGGTACCATGGCAGCAAGAAGGCATTTGAAAAACCTGACACATAATACTTTCTGTCTGCCTTTTTTTCTTTCTAACAAATGCTCATGTTGAAAATAACGAAGATGATACAGACTTATATCTGAGTTTTATTTTGAGTACACTTATTAATGTTTAATATTTAGGGTTTTTTTTTGGCCTAGCTACTGGAATGGCCTGTCATCATGTAATTCTGGGAAAAAAACCCAGCATCTTTTTTAATTCACTCAAAAGTTTTTGCATTAATCTAAGATAACTCAACTGCACCTAGCAAATACTTATGTTCTGGTTATGGCAAGATGGATATTAAGGGAGGGAAAAAAAGCCTATGAAGGGCTAGGCACTATACTAAAAAAGTTTCAAATTGGTGGGCATTCCAAGAAGGGGGAAGTGATAGAAAGAATTCTTCCCCATTGCTTTTGGCCACATAAAAAGAATAAATTCTGCTTGAGTATTTCCTCAAAACTGACTGGAAATAGTTTCTGGAAGGTGAGTCAAAAGATCCTAGAGAGAAAAAGATATTTGAATATAATGAAGGAAGGTAACATTGCCCTAATTTGAAGGGAAGTTTCTCTTACAAGTTAATTTAACAAATTAAGAGGTAAGAAGAAAAGCTTGTTACCAAGATAAAAAAAAACTAGGACATGAAAAGCTTTTAAAGAGGCCCCTCACCAAATGTTTCTTAATAGGAACATAAAAGGCATATCCATGCCTTTGTAAAAGTGCAAAACTGATCTCCTTTTTTCAATTAAAAAGGATCAGTATGTTTCTGCTGGTATATTACTTGGGAAAAATTGAGGTTATCTCACAATTTTCTTCCTCTGGTAAGTGGGAATGGGAACCTGTTTTGTAGTTCTTTAACAGTTACTGAACAAATAACATTGAGGGAAGAATAAAACTTGTATGGTATCCGATGTAATTTTCTATGATACCTGTTCATATATGCTTAATGCTTACATTTGACTAACCCATGATAAAATGACAAACACTAATTTCTTAAAATAGTTTGGTAATGCAAAAATACAGTAAAGGTTTTAATATGTATCATGATGTTAGTTAAGATTATTATATTTTTTATCATGGAACATGTTTTGGAAGTGTTTCTGATTTCAGTTTTCATGTTTTTTACTGAAATCACTTTACAGCTTCATTTTTTAGGTGAAGTTAAGAGCAGTTGTGAGAGCTTCTTACCTATTACTAGCTGTAGGTCTTTCTAAGTATTCATCACTGCTCTTGAGAAAATGTGTCATATAACCTCTTATGATGCCCATAATGCAGCTGAGAGCCTCTATTCTCCTGTAAAAATAATTTTGTTCCTTAATGAAGAAGACTTCTCCATTAAAAACTCTTTTGAGTTTTGTGATGTTATCCATTTACTTTGGGAAAGAGAGAAGGGCTATGAACATCTAAATTAAATCATAGTTGCCTTTAAAAGGATTGTGTGTGCTCACTCTAATGCATTGCATCTTTTATTTGTTTAGGCATTTGCAATTCACTATTGAACCAAGCTGCTTTTCCACTTTGACCTCTGGGAAATATGGGCATACCTGCATCCTGTAATCAAGATACTTGTGTTATGGGAACTGAGTTTATGTATCCATATTACTCAGTGACAAGCAGAAATGCAATCTGAGTTCTGGAGCGGTATAATGAGAAATATTTGAAACAACTCCGTTGCTGAGAATGCTTTAGTTAAGATGTGTTTTGCTAACTTGCTTGCCTCTGTTCTGTGTTATTGCATGATGTAAATATACCTGGTTTACTTAATTCTTTTATGTTGGGATTTTCTTTCCAGTAATTCAGGTGTAGTAAGTTGACAGTGCTGATGTGAAACTTTACTTCTCAGAGTTGCAATAGTAGGGGAGCAAGTTTTCTTTTCTGAAGACTTAAATACGGGAAAACAGAGGCCTGACAAAGGATCCTGAGGCAAAAACTATTGATGAATGTTTTCTATGGTAGTGTGCTTGTGTTGTGCTCCCATGAGATTTTTTTACATGAGGTTTGAGTAACCTTCCAAAAGTATATACGTAAGTATATTCATGCATATAGAAGTATGGTGCCCTGTGCTGCACTAGAGGAGCAAAAAGAAAAATTCCCTTAAATAGTTATTTTCACTACATGGTAGAATTTTTCGTATCAACTGTTTGAAACATTATGCCTTTTCTCAAAAGGTTTTTCTGGGGAAGGAAGAAGAGGAGAAGGTACTGTTTTTGCCCATCAGGGCTGCTGCTTTGCAGAATTAATACATTTGAGTTGTTCTGAGACAAGCTTATGCAGGACCTACCTCTGCGTCTTTGCAGAGCTGGTAGTGAGGCAGGAAAATAACAAATACTTGTCAATTAAGTGGCTTTTCCATGTGTGCCTTTTTTATGGAAGAGAAACAAAAGGGGAGGACCTCAGCTTGAGGACAGTTAGTAGATGTACTGTGTAGCTGCTGGAGACTGAAGAAAATGTTCTGTGGGTAGGTATATGACTTCAGTTACTGTAGCTGTCAGCAGGTTACATGCTATGGTGAATCATGAAACTAAGAATTCAGGACAACTAATAATTCCTCTATTTCAGTGAATTGGAAAGAAAGTGATCTCTTAGAACTTAGTTTGCAGGATTAGAAGCGTAGTCCATTGTGAAGGTGGTTGTTGATAGACTACGCTGATCCTTTGCCTACCTCTATCTCTGCAGATACTGCACCCCAAGATACGTAGATTATGAAGATCTGGAGCGTAAATACTGGAAGAACTTGACTTTTGTGGCACCAATTTATGGAGCAGATATCAATGGGAGCATTTATGATGAAGTATGCATAGCTTTTTATGAAGTTTATCTCTTCCAGCCCTCTTTTAAAGGGTACTATACTTAGAGGATACATTCTTGCTTTGTGACTGAGAATCTGCCTTTCTTTTGAAATCTTTGTGTTATTCACTTTAAAGACTCCAAGCAAGGTTGAAATTAACTCTGCGTCTGCAAGAGTCAAACATTTCTGTCCTTAGTAGGATATTACTACTTTTCCTGATCATAAGACTCTTCCCTTTCTTCACTTTGAACTCTTCAGAATTTTGGGATTTCTTCTTTCTTTATTTATTCACATATTAACATTTCAGTATGCATGTTGTCTGTGTACCTCTGTGGAAATTTAGTGATATTTTAAATAACTTTTACTTTAAAAGATGAATTACTTTATTTCTGTCTCTTTCACTGGAGAAAATTGATAGCTGTACTTTATACATGCTTGAAATGCCTGTAGTTTCCTGGAAATGTGCTTACAATTACTGTGTACCTCTGAATTAAAATAGATGAAATGGAAACTTCTTAAGGAAATGAATTTTACTGGTTACTTGCCAAGATCTCCACTGATAAAAAGGGATTCTTAACAGAGATCTCATTATCCAAAGAATTACAGAATATCCATTGATATCAGTTAGGCTATCTACATAGCTATAGGAACTAGATTTTGAAAGGATTATTTAAGTAATGATGCTAAAAGAAGAAATGTTAGCATTTCAAAAAAGATTTGAGGATTTAAAAAATGCAGGGCAAACCTTTCTCCAAAAGAATCTACCATGTGTGGAGTTCTTGAGTTATTTCATGTTCTATGTAACTGCCTTCTCCAATCATTAAAGAAAAAAAAAAAGTAGAATTTTCCTGTGGGAGATGGTCTGAGACTCTGCTTATGTTTCATATGTCTTCACAGAAGACAAATTACTTGAGGTCTCTGTCCAAAGATAAATACGGTCAGCCAAGATGGCTCAAGGCAATTTAATTTTTTGCACTAGGTTATGTGATCTTTGAAAGATAGCTATAAATGTCCAATGGTCTATTGTTTAGAGAAAGCAGCAAGTGCAAATTCTCTTGTGTGTCCAAATATCTGTATGAAAATAATTTAGAAAATAATTAAAGATTCTGATTTGGGGTGTTTTGGTGAAGAAACATGAAGAAACATTCTAGATGGCTGTTGCTCTGTGGAGACCAAAATGGGGCACAGGAAAGCAGTGTTTCATGAAACAGAAACATCATACTTTTTTTTTTTTTTCTCTGATTTTTTTTTTTCTTTAGTGTTGACAGATAATGTCTTCTGGTGTAGCTTTTTACAAATGTAAGCTTTGTTTTGATTGTGTTTTCTTTAGTCTTTAGTTTCTTAAGCTTACTATTTCATGAGCAACATTTCCAAAGAAAAGAGAATGCAGTTATATCTGATTCTGAAGTGCTGACTGGTCAAAGAGAAGGTCAGAGGTTTCCATCTCATGGAATTACACTCTTATTATATAGGGAGGCTGAGGAAGGGAGGTCAAAAAAGCAAAGGGTGAAGTGAGAAGAGCAGCATTCAGCAATCCTAACTGAGGTGTTAGGTGGATAGGAAGAGGAGACAAAGAAAGCACTTAAAGTTACAGAGAGCGAGGAATAAAAGGAGCGGGGAAGAAAACAGTAATAGCTAGAATAAAACAACCTTAAAGGTGATTAAATGGGTATTATTGAAAAATAAACAAATCACAAAGGAAAAATGTTAGTGAAAGGAGTAGACACTGAGGAAGGAGTGTGAACAGACTGAACAGTTCATGTGACAGCTGTGTCACTGTGTACAGCCCAGTGGGGTTTAGAGGAAAAGAAGGAAAAACCCCTGGTACCAAATTGTTGGTGAGGAAGTTATGGATACCACTGATCAAAATGTTTTCTCCTAGAATATTTTTGCCGGTTAACATTTGGCCAGCAGATGGTGGACTTGCACAACTAATATTTTTCATGTCTTGCGCTTGAAGATCGTGCTAAGACAGGATTTTTTTGATTCTGTTTGGATTTAGAGGTTGTTCTTATGTCTTCATTCAGTTTGCTTCAGGATTGTCATTATTCAGGGAAAGGAGATGAATGCAAGTAGCTGATGTTTTGTGCAACTTACAGCAGAAAGGGCATGGCAGTATTAATTTGTCTTAACAGCCTCTTTGCGATAAACATAACCAAATGCTTACTTTTTGCAAAATACATTTTATAGAAAACAGTGTGTTACAGATGAAGCATTTAATACAGAAGGATAAATATCTGGCAGAATTCCAGGTAGAAAAACAACCAGGAACTTAGTGAAAGTGTGATGTATACATGTACTTGGGCCATCAAAATTAGTGAGAAATGCTGCTGTGCTGCAAGTCCTTATTCTTTAGTTTAAAAGTTTACCAATTACATTTTCTTTTCCACATGGTGACATTCCAATTTTTCATTGAGGCATCTGTATCTGAAGCATGATGAAGCCTTAGCTTTTACTAGTTAGATTATTTAAGAAACAATATTGGTATTTGTGGACTACAGCACCTTGCTGGCTTTGTGCCAGAGAGATCACAGATCTTCTAGTGTTGTTTGCTTTTCTTAGATCAGAGGGTGACAGATTTGGAGGGAATTTGGAAGATGGGGCAAAATTAAAAAGCTTGTGTTATATGAAACAGTAAAAAAAAAAACCAAAAAAAAGAAGAAGAACAGGAACAAATCTATGGATGCATGCTTTGAAATTTGGCAACTACCATCAATGATTCAAAGTTTTTCCTTGTGATATTTGGAATATTTCAGAATATCTGTTGTGTATTTATAATGTATTTATGGTTATTTGACGGTTTTGAACACAGATTAAATCCTTATTAATAAGGAAATAACTTATAAGAATAAGTTTTCTGTACACTGTGTAGAGCTTCTAGAAAATAAATTTAAGGTAGTTGAATGTTTGCTTGAAATATTATTCTATGCTGTGTGCATTTTAATGTGCTGTTACATTTAATTACAGTGCTTTGCAGGAGAATGACAATGTAGCTGATTGAAGAAAAAGCACTGCCCTAAAACAGATTGTCAGGGTCATTATTTATGTTAAGATTGTAAACATTATTAGATACATGTTAAAGGTTCTGTCTTTTTGTTGCTATAGGGTCATCTGGCCTTGAGTGAAAAATTAATATTCCTGAAAGAGTTAATAATGGCAATAATAAAGCACTAGTCTCAATAACTGCAGTTGTTAAACTGATTCATGAATTGATTATAAACACCTAAGAGTTAGGATTGTTTAGGAAGTTTAATTGCAAAGTGATTATTTATTTTTTATTACGTTACTTCAAGAGACCTATCTTCCATGTGAGTTAGCATGAATGTAATGCCTGCTTGAGCCAGCTTAGACGGTGGATGACTAGCCTGTGAAACAGCTGCAAAAAGTTATGTTCCTGTCAGGAAAGGGAAGAAAGAGAGTTCTTTTGTTTCTGATAGCATAACTTTATTAACTTTTTATTAACTTATCTAGCAATTGTACCTGTGAGTAAATTGAAGAGTAGGATTCACCTACTTTTTCTGTACAGTCTGTTCTGCAGAACTACTGTTCGGCCTTCCAATTCCATGCCACTTCCAAACCACCAATCACTGAGGCCACAAATCTGGTTGTTTCCTTGTTATATGAGATACAAGTAGCTCAAATTATTTTTTTTCTGTTTCCTGATGGTTTTTTTTATTTGATTGGTTTGTTTTTTTGTTTTTGTTAATTTGAAATTGTATTTGTATGGACAGATGGGGAAGACGTATGAAACCCCTACATGGACTGATCTAGCAACTATGGGGAAAAAAATCTTCCTGGTTTCAAAAGAGGTTCCAAAGAAAAGTGACTAATTTGATGTTTATAATGGGTCATAAAGCACACCTGACTTCAGTGCTGTTAATGGAATCTGCTATTCAATAGAGAAAAACCAAGGTTTGGGAGAAGCATGTATAAAACTCTCTTACCTCTTTCTCACCACTCTTTTTAGCTCCCATGCTGAAGATATCACTTTACTTCCCTTTTCCTTCTCTTAGTTTTATTCCTCCTGATAAGACGGTTCCTAATGTCTTCCTTCTACCATGTCTAAGCTGTGGGGAGCATATTTGATTAGTAATACAAGAGTGAGTGATTCAGTGGAGTTTGTAGGCTCATGGTTATTTTTGCTAAACTGTAGGTATATCTTTAATGTAGTATTAACTCTACCAACAGATGTACTAATTTCCTGCTATATCCCTTGACAGAGCAGCTAACTTGATTTTAAAGCAGCACCTTGACATTATATTTAAAGTTTGGATTTGACCATGAGATGAGTTAGGGATGGCATCATGAGTTGTAACTTAACCTAAGGCTGCAGGAGAGCAACACGCATAAGCAATACAAGAGTCTCTGGAGAGTATCAGTGACAACTTCCTGACCAAAGTTCTATGCTGGACCTCGTACTGACAAACAAGGAAGGACGTTTTGCAGATGTGAAGGTTGAAGGCAGCCTTGGCTGTAGTGACCATGAGATGGTGGGGTTCAGGATCTTAAGAGCAAGGTGTCAACACAAAGCAGGACCACAACCCTGGCTTTCAGGAAAGCAGACTTTGGCTTCTTCCGTGATCTGCTTGGAAGAGTCTCCAAGCAGGGGAGATATAGCAGGATAAGGCCCTAGAGGGAAAAAGGGCCAAGAAAAGTTGTTGGTATTCACCTCCTTGAAGCTCAACAGTAGTCCATCCTAATGAGCAAGAAGTGAGGCAAAAATGCAGCGGTCTGCATGGATGAACAAGGAGCTTCTGGAAAAACTCAAGTGTAAACAGGAAATGCAGAGTGGGTAGAAGCAGGGATGTGTAACCTGGGAGGAGTATACCGTCCAAGTATGCAGAAATGCAACTGTGAATATTAAAGCCTACCTGGAATTGAATCAGAGGGATGTCGAAGGCAACAAGGAGGACTTCTATAAGTGCACCCCAGGGATCAATACTGGGTCCAGTCCTG